TTCCTGCCGTGAGAGAGGAAGGAGTCAGATGCATAGAACGGGAGCATAAAATGACCACTCTTAAGCCTGTTTATTGATTACAAACCTGTTAGGATCACAACCACAATGGTAAAAGAAGGAATTGTTCTTTAGCAATCAGTTTGCTTTACTTGATTGATTTTTGGAATAAAATAAGAGAGACATTTTCCCAGTAGAAGACTTGATTGGTTTTGTTTTGCTTTATTGTTGGGCTAGTTGGCACTACTAACTTCTACCAACCTACAACTTATCCAAATCTGCTCATATGGCTGCCCTCTGCAGCTGAGGTATGACCTTAAGAAACGTATGCATTTGGTTTACACCATTATACAGGTGCTCTGTATCACTTTCTGTTCTTCAGATTGAGTTCTCTGCCAGAGAAGCCACTGATCATAGGAAGGAATAGAACCAAACTTCAGAAGGGCCCTTCAATGGCCAGGGTAAGTGAAATATTCATGTCTCCTATAACCCCATCTCACATGTTTTCTGGGCTGTCCTAGCTTCTCCTGTCATTAAGCCCCATCCTGGCAAAGATACATAAAAAGAAGAAAGGACTTACGTCTGAATATCCATTGACACACAGGATCTGTTCCAACAGAGCGCTGACACACGTGAATAGTGCTATCCCCGTGGCAAAGCAGATGGTCAGGATGATGTAAGGCTTATTTCGGATAAGCTAAAGCAAGTAAAACAAGGAAGCGTTGTCAAAACACAGAACACTCCAATATGCCAGTAGATGTTAATACGCAGAATATGTCACTGAATTTGCCTTTTGCCTTTTGGGCCTTCTGATATGCAAGGTTTAGAAACATGATGCTGATTCCAGTGGAGATGCTATTTTCTAGGGCTGCGCAGAGAGATCTAGATTCAAAGGACAAAATATGATTCGGAACATAGAAATGCTGGCATCTTTTCCTGGACTCACCTGGATGCCCTCTGTGGCTGATCCCGACAAAAGAGGCATTTGGTTTAAACAATTCCTGATAGGTTCCATGTGTTTGCTCACATGTGCTTGGTATTACATTTTGTCCTTCAAATCCAGATCTCTGCAGAACTTTACTATTTTTCTTCCTCCAGTGATATATCTGACTTCTTTCACATGTAACTGTAAAGCAGTCATTCATTAGATCCAAGTTTTCTTACTCCCTTTTGCAGCACCCTGAAGCTCTGGAGCTACAAATCAGAACTGGATTTGTTTAGATCCAGATTTAGACTGAGACCACTTTGAAACAGTGCTGCTTTCACTTAGCATTTGGGCATCCAACATACATCTCAACTAATAGACTGTGGTCAGTGTTGGAGGCAACATGCTTTACAATCCCAGGTTGCTGTTGAACACTATTTCTTAGTTTAGCTGGTGGGCTTCCCAGATGCGTCTTCAGGTCCACAGGATCTTGCTCCTATTGTCAGCAAGTCAAAATCAGCACTGCAGCATTGAACTACACGCTTTGCCACTTCAATGTGTGCATGTGATGTCACGGCACATGTCATACGTTCTGACCCCATAGCTCTGCTTCCATCATTCTGTCCACCTTGCTCCCACTGCAGACACCCCTAGGCATCTTACTGACTACTGCTTGAAAACAGTTACTGGACTTGATAAGCCTTTGGTCTCATCTAGCACAGTTCTGGGAGAAGAATTCATTGACTCCTCAAACACTGACCTAGGTAGCCAACCAGACTACCTAGCAAGAAATCCCTTTTTGTTTCCATATAACCTGGGATTGGTTAACTTGAATTACACTACAGTGGCAATCCCCAAGTTTATTCCTTTGCTTTGTTTGCAGCTTACCATTTTCAAACCTTCACAGAAAGATGGTGAATTTGAATGATCGGCACTTGCTGAAGGTGGAGTTGGGGGAACACCACTGCAAACACCGAAGGTGGCCAAGATACAACCAAGGATAGCAGGAGCTGCATACACTCCAATCTGCAAAACAGAGACCCAGCCAAATTTTAAAAACATTAGGAGGTGTGATTTGCCTCCTAAGAACAGATAAGTCATGCTGAATTCTAAGTGAAATTTCACGTTCATTTACCAATAAAGGAATATCTTTTTCTTCCGGAGCAAGTGCAGGTGACAATAGGTTAGCTATGAGCATGCCCAATGGATTGGCTAAATGGAAATGTAAAAAGAAAGAGAGAGACGCATGATTGAAGAGATGATTTTTCCAAAGCAACTAGAACACATTTCACATACATGTGAATTGACAGGAAAAGCAAGAGAATTCCTATCTGTCTTATACGAAAGCCACAATCTATGTAGAAGGCTTCTGTTGGACTTCTTGCTTCACTAGAGAGAAGCAGGTTGAAAAATGGGAGTCGTGGGTTTGCCTCATTTCCTGAAAACCCCTCTAGATGGGCTGTAAGATTTCTCATAAATGGCAGGGGAAGAATCTTCTGGATCGTGCCATTTTAACACACATAGGAAAGAGGTTCGTGTAACTGTATTTCATCAAATAAACCCTCGTGATCAAATAATAACCTTTCAGGTAGAAGACTAACAAATCAGGGAGAGCCCTTCACATCGTCAACTAGCAAATGAGGAAGACGATTTTCAGTTTTAGTCACTGTCCGACATTCAAGTGTTATGGTTAATCCTGTGAGGTCCCACCTACAGAATAGATCAGGGCATAGATATACCATCTTATTTGTTCTTTCTAAGGAGCAGGCAGCATTATTTATTTATTCATAGCCACTCAGAATCACTTAGGTGAGATGGGCAGCTATACAATCAAATAAATATATAAATAAAATTAATATTCAATTTAATTTAATTAGCAGCATGATTTCTAGAAAATTAGTATAGTATACCTGGAGTGCACCAGATGGAAACAGTTCCTCTCATGAATATAGATGATAGATGTAACCTCTGGAGTTATACTTAGGGTTTCTCTTTGGGGTGGCCCTCTAGACCAGTGTTTCTGAACCTCAGCAACTTTAAATATGGACCTCAACTCCCAGAATTCCCTAGCCAGCATGCCACACATCTTAAAGTTGCTGAGGATGAGAAACACTGCTCTAGACATTACTGAACTGCAATTTCCATCTCTTAGCACGGTCAGTGGCAAGGAATGCTGGACGTTCTACCTCAGCAACATCTGGAGGGCCACAGATTCTCCACCCTATTTATATAGTGTTTTTGAAAAGTTCAAAAGTATAGTACGTACATCCCCATAAAATAGCCCTGTACGGTAAGCTAGTAATGAACTCTTACATCACTGATGGGAGCCTCAACAGGGAAAATGTTGTGTCCAAGACAGAAATGAGATCTGAACCCAGACTTCCTGACTCACTGCACCAGCTGTGGAATAACCAGGACTGAATCATCAGTGCCCAGTTACTTACACATAGAGGCAATCATATTGGCTGTGGCTCGTTGGTCTTCAGGGAACCATAAGGCCGCTAGCTTAGTTGGTGCAAAGATGACGAGTGGCTGGGCCCCGGCACAGAGGCACTGTCCTACGAGCAGGTAGATGTAGTTTAGGGAGCCCAAGCTCAGGCCATCGACAATGCTGAAAATACGAATGATGCTGCCCAGCATATTGAGCCAGGCGCAGAGCAGCACCTGCAAGAGAAGAAGCCACACAGCCAGGGTTAACATAAAACGGTCTTCCACCACCTGATGCTTTCCATGATCCCAAGATTGAGTAGCAATGCTAAAAATGCCTTCCTGTATTACATTTCCAAGTGTGTAATCAAGTACTGAATAGAAGGCTGCCTTATCTTTGTATCTTTCTAAAATAGCATGAGACTGCTAGCCTATGGTGAAGCAGAGAGACCGGAAGATGGGCAGGGACATCCTTTGGCTCAAGGGTCACTCCGCATAAATTCAGTGGTGCTAAATAAACAGTGGCACGCTGATAAATGTGTAACAACCAGCTCTGCCAGTTCCACCACTGCTGTGCCGCTAGCTGCCAAACAACTGATCGGTATCCTAGGCATTGCAGCTCAACTCTGATCTCAACCGGTTTGCAAAATTCCAGAAAATTTAACAGTTGGCTTTCAACAAGCCAGTACCAGCCAGCTCGAGTGCACCACTGTAGGTAAGTCACTAGGCAGCATTCATGGAATGGCATCCCCTCTCAGAAATGGATGAGAGTTGGTAGGGTGCTGGACACTGTCCACGGTCTTCAGATGCCTAAGGCAGTTCCAGCACAGGTTCAACAGGCATATTTTTGGCATTAGTGGAAAAGGGATCTAGGCACGCAGGAGTCCTCTGCTCAACTGAAGCCTGAACCAATTCCATTTACAACGGGGTGAATGAAACCAGAAGCATACTGTTAGCTGCAAGCAGGCTCTGTTCACAAATAGAATCTGCAATGACTGGGATGTGGCTAAGAGCAGCTATTAAGGCATCTTCAAGCTAAGTTGTATATGGACCATCAAAGGTCAGTTTTAAACTCAGTAGAATCAAATGGGAGGACTCCACTCCAAAACCATGGGCAGAAGGGAAGTGGCACAACCCAGATCACAACAATGTTGCTAAAAAACATTCACACAAAACATCCTTGAAGTCATTTAAAGCTGATTGTGCAGCCCTGCGTCCTGGGCATGTTGAAAGTAACATTTCCAGCTCCATGGGAAAATCCCCATAAGCCTGGCTGCTGAAGAATATATATGCAGGCAAAGATGGATCCTATCACATCTTTGAGGATATACACTGAAGGCCAAGCTAGGTGATACTTTCAATTGGTGGTCATATTTGTACCCCCTAAGGTATAGGCTATCAACACTGTAAACCAGCCAAATAAAGAAATATACAAATCAATAAATGCAGCTTTTTAGTACTTTCCTGAGTCTGTTGCCCAACACCTGTGGAGATTCTAGCTCCGAGAATCTGTATTCACCCTATGCTGGCTGTAATTCTGCTAATGAAAATCCCAACATATCTAAAAACCACCAGGTTGGGAAATGCTAAGCTAGAACCTTGATACTTTAATGCTTCAATATTAAAGTAGCAGCTTTTGAGTATTTTACAGCAAGTTGTGTGGTTTTGATATGAATCAGGTTTGAAATGTAGGAGTGGACAACTCTTTCTCACCTTCCCCCTCTCCCCATTGCAATGAAAATCCATAACATTCCTTTCGTGAGCCAAACTGCAGTGTGTATGCACACAAACACATACAGAGAGGCATGTTTTATCAGGAATGTCGAGTGGAGGAAAAAGCTCAAACCAGGTCTGAACTTGTTTTCCATTTCTTAATGTCAAGATAATGCAGATATGACATCTCACTTCATGTGGTGTCTCCCTCCCTTTAAGCCAAACAATGATCTTATCTCATGGAGTTTACTGCTGTCCCCTACATTACAGCATGCCACATGTCTCAGTGCTCCTCATGGCTTCCTATTATGTGAGGTCAGCAGTGGGAAGTGAGCCAGCTGACTTTTGGGGAAGTTAATTGGCCAATACTGATTTTCTAGTGAAGCAGACCCAGCCAATTTTAGGAAAAATCTCCAGAACCCATTCTGAAGACCACGATAGGAATAAACCAACTCATGCTTGTCTCCATTCTGCTTACAGCACATCTAAGTCCAATGGTGTCCAGAATCCATATTGCTAGAAACCCCACAGGAACTGAGACCACAAAGTACACAATGGAGAGCCAGTTGACCATGTCCAATGAGGTATGGAATCGTTCAGCTGTTAAGTCAGCCACTGGAGCAAATGTCAACCATAGCTAAATAAAGGAAGAGAGAAGCACAAAACATTGTCAAACACTTAGACATCCTTTCTGTATTTTTTGCAAGTAGTAAAATTTAGGCACCTTTTAAGCTATGAGTACTACGACTTCTTACATTTTACATCTGATACAAAAACTTAAAGCACCCTATATCATTCATCCATCATCATCATCATCATCATCACCATCCATTGGATGAATATGATGAAGAAGTGCTTAAGGTGGCTAATAACAAAAAGAAATAAAATACTGGACAAATTATTTAAATGTAAGTTTTCAACAATCTTAAAATTTGTTAATTCCAAACATAACACTGTCATTAAGCATTTCAGAAGCCTAAATGGAAAAGATGTATATTGATGCCCTTTTTGAATGCAGAGAGAGTGGGGACCAATTGTAATCAAAATAGAACTCTTACCTGAGAATAATATACAAATGCAGATAGAATGCTCCGCATAGTTAGCTGGCAAAGAAGAGGTGTGCCATATCTGGGAGCAAAAAATCAAAAGACTAGTAGAAGGCACCAAGAGCTGGCAATGTCTCTAACTCTTCGCTGCCATATAGCAATCGTTCAGATTTTTGAAACTCAGATACTACACACCTAGTAAAGATATGACATAGCTTTGCAGCAGAATTTTGGTTCTAGACAATAAATGCAATCTGACATTAAGACCCAGAAGACTGATGCAAGACAGGTCTCTAAGCCATTACATGGTATTTTATTTAAATAAATAAATAAATAAATCATATTGATATACAGAGCTTCTGATGCTGGCTTTAGGACTTTAGGACTCCACCATCAAGAGCAAGTAACTCTGAACTGAAACTGCTAAAGGAAATGAACTTAATGAAGCTTTAAATGGATCAGACAAAGTGACAGGACCAGCTAAGCTAATTATAATTCAAATACCATAACCCCAAAATGAAGTAGGTAGGTATAGATGTAGGTACAGTCCCTAGGATAGTTACATTGCCTTGCTACAGTACCATTGTATTCGTTTCCTTCCATGTAATTAATAATTCCTTCCATGAAATTAGTAATTAGTTGCTGGGCGTTGGATGGCATGTAAATTTAATAAATAATAATAAGAGTAATAACAATAATGGTTCTCCACCTTAAGTGAGAATGGAAAGCTTGCAAAGATATAAATGATATCTGGCCTAACAGGTATAACAAATCCAAGGTCAATATCTGCATTAGACTGTTTCTGAATTAGTTGTCCAAAACCAGCAATGGCATGTCCACCAGCATCATGTCTTCTGCTCTTTCAAGGTCAATCTACAAGCCACCCATAGATAAAAATCCTACATCCACAACATTCTCCAGCATCAAGAGCAAGTAACTCTGAACCGAAACTGCTAAAGGAAATGAACTTAATGAAGCTTTAAATGGATCAGACAAAGTGACAGGACCAGCTAAGCTAATTATGACTCAAATACCATAATCCCAAAATGAAGTACTGTATGCAGCACTTGAAACCGAGAAAGCGGTTTGAAAGAGGAAATAGTTAACAGATGAAATCTGGTGACATATATGGTAACTCACAAAAAGAAACACAGGTAGAGTGCTTGGGATATTCTCATTTGCTTAGCAATAAATTCTGATGAAATCAGTGTAGCTTCCTTCTAAATTAACATTTACAGGTTTCCATTGTCCAACAACTGTTGGCCACTGATAGGTTGGAGGATGTTCTAGAGGAAGTTGGGCAGACTTGATAAAAAGTATGCCAGTACAGGTTTACTACTATAGTATTTTGTGAGTGGTAGGGGAAAACTGATGCATTTGGAACGAATTAGGGAGACTTTGCATCAGCAGTATCTAATGTACAATTGATACTCCAAATTGGTATCTATGGAAACATTTTTAAAACAATTAAGCAGAAGAATGGGTAGGACAAACCCATCTCTACTAAATACTATTGAAATTTTGCCCTGTGAATATATGACCTACATAAGAGCTTTTAAAATACCCATAATCTACATAAAAGCTTTTAAAAGCCTTCTAAAATTAGTGGATTGAATTAATACTGCTGGGTCTTTAGGTTTGGAAAAAGTTGCAGAGCTGTGTTCTTCACAGAGCCTCTCTATGTTCCTCTATAATGTTTTTGCAAGTAGTAAAATTTAGGCACCTTTTAAGCTATGAGTAC